AAAGACTTTCCGATGACAACAAAGAACCTGAAGTTGAAAACGATATTTATGCAGTGAACAAGGAATGCGTTTGGAATTGCATCCATGTGATTGAGCGCTAGAGGATGGTTAAGTTAGTAACATATATAAAAAGGTAATTAAATAAAAGTCACGAGGCCCTCACTTGTTTGTGAGTTTGCCCGTATTTCCCTTCATATAACTACATTTTACTGAACTGACTCTATATTTTATATCACTTAATGGATGCTTAGATCTAGTTGAATGAATTTACCAATTTGAATCTGCCAAAATAAAAATGGGCTTCATTGAAAACTTAAACAAACACCGGCCTTGCCAAAAGTACGTTAAATAAGTTACCCACAATTCAGAAACAAAAAGTGACGCCAAATATGTGGGCAGTTGCATCCTGAGCTGCCTTTCAAAAAGTAAGTAATTATTTACTTCGCCACGTAAGTACACTAAGAGGTATTTCAGACTTCTTGAAGCAAAAATATCCCAGCAACAGTCTAGAGAGTCCGATCATTTTGCGTTCCGCATATATTTTTATTTATCCCCAAAGTAGTCTCTTTTTGTAAGTCATTAGTAGGTGTTTACTTGCAGATTCGCAGTGAAGGTTTAATTTATTATTTTTGACTGGACCATTGGTTTTGCAAGCAAAATATAATTTCCATCAACCCTGATTGTAAAAATCTCCGAACGAAGTACATTTACTGTCATTCCAGGCAGGTAGAATAACCATGTAATATTCCTCAGCCTCGAAAGTTAGACTTCAGAAAATCTTAGAATTCTCATCTTCCTAGAGCAGAACAATAGGTTTTAATAAACAGCGAGAATAAGGAAAAGGAAAAAATGATGCAATGGAACGTTTTTCACCTTTATCCTACCCCTTGCCAAAAAATAATGTGCATTAACACATGTTCGGACAGGACTGGACGGTCTAAAACTTCTTCCCCCATCACTAGGGTTTATTGGATGTTATTCAGCGTTTGCTGCTCTGTTTTGCCTAAACCAACCTGCTGACAAATAATCAGAAAAGCATATTTCCCGACTCTGAGTTCCACAATGTTCGCATGAGCATCCTTGCTGAACAAGAATATGAGGAGGATTTGATTAGCTCTTGCAGGTACATTTATTCAAAATTGCCTGGTATAACGCATCGAAAATTGAAAATAAGATTTCAGACGAAAGTACCACGAGATTTAGGCCGGTAGTTTCAATTGGGTGTTGGCTTTATTCTTAGCAGTTGTACTACTTTTAATAAGTAAGTAGGGAA